GAGAAGGGGGAGAAGTTGAATCGGGTTTGGATGTAGATGCACCGTTTAGCAAGATGTAGCATGGAGGCACGGGCTTCGTATTGGCAGCCGACTTGCCGTTGACGGACGAGGAAGATGAGCTGGATGAGGAGAGGTTGATGTTCTTTGTAAACGCCGCAGTGCTGCCTCAGTGCACCAGCAGCTGCTTCAGCCACAGCTGCAACAGGCGGAAGGCAGCGGAGCAGTTCCTTCAGCCCCCAAGAAGAACGTGGGTTTCAGCGCGGTCGGTCGCCTCGGATAGGTCGTGAAAGTGTGTTCTGAATTCTTAGGGATAGAAGTCATGAGGTGCCGGAGCCACGGAGCACTGCTCCGTCGAAAGCAGCCCGCAAAGGCATCGATGAGCATGCACTTGACAGTGTGTGGCGCCTTGGCACTAGATGTGTGGCCTACAGGCACGGGCTTCGTGCTGACAGCGGACCTGCCCTTGACCGACGAGGAAGATGAGGAGGAGGAGAAGGCGTTTCGTCAAAATAGTGTGGCACAATCAGAGGGTCAATAGCTCGGCTGTCCACAGAGGTGCAGCTTGCCCCGAAGCCTGTCCAGAAAAATGTGGACTTCAGTGCAGTAGTGAGCCAAGCTCTGGACAATCCCAGAGACAGCATTCTGTCAACCGAATTCCTGAGGTGCCGGAGCCGCGAAATGCGTCTCCGCTCAAGGCGGCGCGCAAAGGCTCACGGCTACTGATCTGTTTTGTGGTCGTGCTTGTCGTCAAGATTTGGGCAGGCACAGGCTTCGTGTTGGCGGCCGACTTGCCTATGTCTGATGACGAGGACGAGGACGAGGCCACAAATCCAAATCCGAGTGCAGTGAAAAGCTGAAGGCCATCTCTTTAAATCGTGACAATATGTTTGCTGAAGGTGCCTTCCAGTTCGCACTCCCAGCCATCCCGACGCAACATCGGCTTCACCGAGGCACCGAGTGGCCGGAGCAGCCGGCTGAAATCGAGCACGTTCGAAGTGCAGCTTCTCCTGCAGGACGTCCGAGCCCAGGCGCCGTCGGATGGTGGCGGCAAGGCGGCACGGAAAGGCCGGGAGGAAATATCAGCGGGGCCGTTGTAGACGCCCTGATGCGTGCAAGCAGGCACGGGCTTCGTTAGTCCCGCGGACTTGCCGTCAGACGACGAGGAGGAAGACCAGGAGGCGCTTGAGGGCAGCGGTGAAGGCAGCTGAGGGAAGAGTTCCTGTGCAGGCATCAGCATCATCAGCCATCTTCGGAGGCCCCGGGCCCCCAGTCAGAGAAGTTTTTCTCCAAGAGAGGGGCGTTTGGGGAGTGCGGTGAGGTGGCGAGGCTCGCCGCCCAGAGCGCCCGGACCGCCCGGCCAGCTCGCCTGGTCGCCGCGGTGCTCCACAGGACTCCTGACTCTCAGCACCCTTGCATCATCTTGCATCTTGAACCCTTTTTGGAAGGAGCGGGAGCGGCTCTCGGCACAAGGCCCGCTTGGCTTCTTGACAATTTCTAGGGCCGGCACCGGGTCTTGGGGGCCCAGGTCTGCGTCCCATGCTGCCGGCTGCGGCCTCAAGACGTTCAGTGCCTGCCCGGCCCAAAATCTGCTGCCTCCGAGCTCTCCGAGGCGTGCAAGACGACCTGAGGTCTGACCTAGCACGCATGCGTACCCATTCGCGACCTTGGAAAAAACAAGTGGGAGAAGGAACGTGATGCAGATAGTCTGAAGCGCAAATTGCATGTAATGGATACATATCCGTATCTGCAGTTGCCCTGCAAAGGCTACAACTTTGTAGTTGTTAGGTGTTTCGGCAAAGTTGGATGACTGGGCCAGACAACAAATTGTAGGCTGCGTGTGTCAATGATCACGATGGAATGATTATGCGAGGATTCTTCGTCAATGTTGTACGAGTTAGCTTCAAACTAGGTAGCTGGGGCATTGCAGGTTGATAGGATCCCTCAACCAAGTTTCTTCCTTCATTGAACTTAATCGCAGAGGGACAGGAGTTTCTCTGCCCATATCCGCCATATCATCTGCTATCGGGTCTCGCACCAAACGTTTTCGAGTTGACCACCCAAACATGCCTAAACCCTCAGCGATCCAAAATCGAAATCTGGAGACCCAAGGCCCTGGGGCGCGAAAACCCTAAACCCGTTTTGGCTCAAGCCGTGGGCTTCAGCATCTCGTGCTGGCACTTGGGGTGTTCCAAAGGTTTGGCATAGACTGTGCTGGACCCTAGGCCCTTAGATCCTAAACCTTTTCACCAAGCGGAACCTTCCTGCTGCTCGAGACAGGGCGTGGAGACCTCGGAGTTTGTACGTTAGCTCTTGTAACCCGTGTAGTGACGTTTAGAGAACCGTTATAACATGCGACAGAAAGACGTTGAGTTTACTACAGTCTCACTTTGAACTAATGTTGGGGTTGTAATGAAATACCCTCCCCCTTCGAGGTTGTTTTGTCCAGGGTCTCTTGGGGTGGTCGTTGGCAATAAGAAACCTCTGGCCGGGTCCGGGTCTGTAGTAGTAGTAGCAATAGTAGTAAGCTGCTTTGCTTGTTCTTTAGCTAGGCAAGTAAAGCACAGCACCGCAGGCCATTGCTGCTAAAAGCCTGCAGCTCTCGAATGCCAAAGCCGCTGGCTTGAGGCCCATTAGCTCTCTTTCTAAACAGCCTTCTGAGGAAAGCCTTGCTTCCAGGACCCCCCGCCACGCGGGAGCATTTTATTGTCACCGATTTATTGTTGCGATCAGCAGGGCTCGTGAAGGATACCCTTGCCGGTTGTGAAATGGCTCCATTGATAAATCAGGCAGAGGCTTCAACAATAGAATAGCTGCTGAGTTCCTGGAATCCAGAGTCCCTGGCTTCATGCCAAAGCCTGCAGCTCTCGAATACCAAAGCTTCTGGCTTGTGGAGTGAACAGTTTCTGGAATAGCACTCTGCCAGCTGGTAGTTCAGTGAGATGTCTGAGGAACTGCACTCTGCCAACTGGGTTTAGGGTGCAAGCTTCTCTTTCCTGCTCTCAAAATTTAAAAATCGTAACCTTTTACTCAAGCCAGCAGGCCCTGGAATTTTTCGGGAGTTTCGGCCCCTAATATTTTAGTTGTCACCCCTTTATGAATATCACCAGGGTCCCAACATCAGTTGTTTGGCCGGATCTGGTCGGATCTCGGTGCGCAATTTAAAGAACTCTTCGGCCGGGAAATTCTGGGCCAGGGACCCGGTTTATTGGTGTCTGAATCTCACTGCGAACCAAAAGCAATCTTCGGTCAGGTTCTCCCGTCAGGTCTGGCTCACAGTCGACCATTAATTAATCTTTGCCCTGTGTGGACTTATTCAATTGATCTCCCTACGAGTTCGCCGGTAAACACTGCCGGGTCAAGAAGTGCGAAAGACAAGCTGTCGAGAAATGCTGTGTTAAAAGGTATAGCTATAATTCTAGCAATGGTATTGCAATCGCTGGGTGAAATCATGGTCCCACAGTGGTGGTGATAGCAGTAGCAATCGTAACAGCAATCAGAATGCAGTAGTACTGAGAATGATGGTGATAGCAGAATCACGTCAATGCTATACAGTCGTGACAGTACTGATGAGAATAGTACTGTTGTTGTGATAACCATAGCGCCATCGACACCGCTACAAGCACGACACACTCGCTGCCGCTTCCGTTGTTGCTGTCAATTGCTATACGCTGGCCAAATGCTGGTTACATCTGACTGGGACGTCAGATTGTTTCGTGGCCTGGACTGCGTGCACTCTATGCCAGTTCCGACGATGTTCGTGCCAATAGTGGCCTGTTGCAAGCCAAGTGCATTGAATTCAGTTTGCTATGGTGTATATGCATCCTGAGCACACCGCGGAAGGCATTTCTCAAACCGACCGCCAGTGCAGAAAAGGACCTTTAGTATGCAAGGCTCAGAGCACTCGAGTGTCAGCTATGGTGGCCACGGCGCTGACAAGAGAGAATACCGCCAGATAAGCAGAAGCTACTCCGGCACACAGATTCAGACATCGAATATAGGACAACAGATTTTGCCTCAAGCCCGAAGCTGAAAGAGCCGCGCGGCCATTCGGCAACTGCCAGCATGGCGATGCAATTCTTCAAGTGATGCTGGCTGCATTTTTTGGTGGGGTTGCAGGTTTCGACCAATCCAGGCGCATTGGAATGAAATAGCAGAGACGGCCATGCAACGCGAACCCCCTTTTCACCAAAGGTCTGAAACTTGAAGGAGAGTCGCATGCTGCTGCATAGTCGACTTCATGCATGACAGCCCACAAGTCATAGAAGATCTTATCGAATATGTCACCGAACATCTTGCTAGAAGCTGCGAAGAATAAGTCAGTGAGCCGTTATTGTTAACCCTGCCGAAAGTGTCATCGAACATGCCACCGAATATTGTTAACTTCACCGATGAATCTCATCGAATGTGTCTCTAATATGTCTCCAGATATGTCATCGAATACGTCACCGAATATGTCAGCGAATGTGCCACATTGAAAGACATCGCGAACGATCCTATTCAAGATATGTAGTTTCAAAGTTTACCCTAGATCCCTACCTCCTAGACCAACCTAGACACGGCTACACGTGGCAGCGGCGGTGTAGCCTAATCCGTCTTTTCATGTGTTCTTTGTGCCAGCCTTGTCATGCCTTTTTCGGTCTTTGAAATCAGAGCGATGGCTGCGATTTTTCTTAGCTGAGCAACGCTCAGCTCTATTCTGAGTCAGTGAGTGATCTTGACTATCGTATGTCCACGTGCAGCTTGAACCACATTTTTCGCCCGTGCGAATGTTCGGAATGCCGGTCTCGCTTTCGCAGCGTGTCGGTACTGCGACACAAGTTGACGCAAGCTTCTACACGCCGGGTACTCGTAGCACAACCGCTTCTGCTGCTGCCACTACTACCGTTGCTACTTTTGCTACTATGACTACTACTGCTGGTACTGCTGCTGCTGCTACATCTATTACTACTACTGCTACTACTACTACTACTACTACTACTACTACTTCTACTACTACTACTACTACTACTACTTCTACTACTACTTCTACGACTACGACGACTACTACTACTGCTGCTGCTGCTGCTGCTGCTGCTACTGCTACTGCTACTACTCCCACTACTACT